CCGCCCGCCCTGCCGAGCGCGGCCACCGCAGGAGGCGGAAGGCAGCCAGGGTCCGCAGCCTGCCGAAGGCGAAACCTCTGCGCCCCGGCCTGCCGCCAGGCTGGGAGATGTTCCCCTCCCACCGCCCGTGGCGGGGACCCGCGAAAGAAGGAAACTTCCAGGGGCAGGTGGCAGCGAGGGACCGTTCGGTGGCTTCTGGGGCAATGGTGCCTGCTTCACAGGTTCCCAGCAGGAAGCCGAAATCCCACTAACAAACTTTTGCCTACCGGATTAATTAGTTGCAGAGGATTTCATGGTTTAATAGCTATGATAATCAATATTTTTTCATTTCACTCCAGCAGCATTTGCTCGCTGATAGATTTGTTTTGTTTCAGTAGCATATATTTCAGTAGAAATATGGGTTCCTTGTAGCCCAATGAAGGGTAAATATGACTGAACACCATCGCTTAATTAGAGATTTGCTGAAAGTAACCAATGGCAGCCAAAGCTGATAGTTTTTACTCGCTTCAGCCTATTTGAAAATTTTAAGTAGCAGCTGCTGGAGCCCATTACCTTTTCTCTGCAATCAGCAGAGGTGGCTTTCTCCACATTGGCCTGCTATGTGTGTCCGTGCAGCCCCATCCGGTCTATGAATACAAGGGGAAAATCAGCTCTTCGCCAGGACTCTGTCTTTGCCATCTCCACTGGAACAGCTGACAAAGGTGCTGGGTTTGATGTGGACCAAAAGTATGAATGATACAGATGATCGGAAGGCTTCTAGTCTATGCAGTCTGGCTAGTGCAGTGTCTCAGCTCAGGGACCAGTGAACTCCCGCCAGATGGGACACACCTTTTGGTGACACAGAGCTGGGCCTGGGTCCGACATCATGTCAACGCCATTGAAATTTCAGGCTCCTTAATTTGGTTTCTCGCTAGGGTTTCCTCAGACTCCTGCTTCAGTAGGACGCAGCATGCACCAATGCCCAGGCTGGGTTCTCTTAGCTGGTCTTGTGCATGAGGTCTTCCTTGGCAGTGGCCCAGGAGTTACGGCTGACAGACAATCTAATGTCACTCAAAAGTTGTGCTGGGCCCTAGACAATGATTTGAAATTGTCTCCCTTAGAATAAGACGTGACATGCATAAACCACTGTGCCATGATCAGCAGAGGAATCTATGTTGGTACCTAATTAAAAAGGGAACAAACTTGATTATTCACTACAGGAAAATGAAACCAGCACATACAATTAATTTCCAACAAATAAATTACACATCGGGATGCTCTAAAGCTAAAACATTCATCACTGCAGCCTGCCATTTCTCAGAAAAGCTGGTCAGATTTGCCAGTAGTGGCTCTCTACAACATATCTAAGGCTTCTCAGAATTTCACATGTGTCTAATGGGGTCATTAGAGAAATAATAATGGAAAGAGCATTTTAGGGACTTCCTGAGCATGAGACAGGCTGGCTAGAGGCTGAGTCTCTCTGCCCATGCTCCAGGATGGCTTTCCACCCCCCCTGCTTTTTATTGCCCTCATCTTCTTGTCTTGATGTCGCCAACATTTTTAGAATGGTTCCATCAATAACAGAACTGGAGAAAAATATATTGTTGTCATCCTTTGCCTGTGTAAAGCATCTTTCATCCTCCCCTCCTGCCCATGCCTGGTTTTACAGAAAGGATATGCTCAGGGTAGAGGAGATCTTTGTATTATACTCTGGGTTTTAATGTACGGGCTGTGTGCCCAGAGAGTTGAATGGCTGATAAATGTGACAAAATAAATAAAACAAACAATAAATCGGAGGTGCTCCATATGCTTCCCAGAGGTGAGTGGGTACTATTGTTCCTCTTTTGGTAAATGGGACAGCGGCCAATGTTTTCACACTTGGATGCTGCATTCAGGTCCCTTGGTATGGATCAAGGTCCCTTGCTTAAAATGCTCGCACTGGAAAGAGCTGGCCCAAGACACTTTGGTGAGATGCCAATGAGAGCAGGGGGCTGTCTGGAGGCCGATGCAGCCTTCCTAACTTTGCTCCACAGGAAGCAACATGCTGCAAATGATGGGCAACCCCTTCTCCTTTTGCAGAAGGGCCTGTCTCTGGGAGTTTTGATGCTGTGTTTCTTGAGCCCACTAATAGTCATGAGGTTAACATAGGGAGGAAACATATGGGAGGCATCAGCTCTGGCACACACTACCTCTGCCCTCCTCAGGTACAGAAAGGGGAAGAAAAAAACATGGACCCATCAGCTGAGAGTGAAGAACTGGTTCCTCTTGATTGGCTGCATCTGAGCTACTGGCTAGGAAATCAGAAGGGGAGATGCCCAGGCATCTCAGTGCAGAGCTGCATGCCTGTTTGTTATAGATCCTGCATCAGGATGGATTCAGGTGTCAGGCTGCAGGTCGGTCTCATGGCAGATATTCTCGCTCTGGTCTTCTAGAGCAGAGTGTGGGCCCATTGGCCCTTAGCTACCACCTCAACAAGGAGGAAAAAAATATTGTTGTTTATGTGCCTCCTCTTCGTCTCTCTGTACAAACCATCGCTCAGTGCAGAGGGAGTGGAGGAAGGAAGAAAGAGGGTGGCTAGAGTGGCAGCGATACTTGATCTGCCTATGTGGCAGTCTGATATAAAATCATATCAGAAATCTTTTTTTTTAATGTTGTTAGGTCAGAAATTTAAAAAATGGCAGAGAGTGAGAGGGCAAATGCAAGCAGGACAGCTCTGTGTGGACTGCAGCCC